CTTGGTATGTACAAGACATATAAAATCAATCGCATAGTCATGAAGAAAAATTTGGCTTATTGGAAAAAGGGGCGTGGCACCTCCCATACAAACCAAATTTTTCACACTTGCATATCTCTGCAAGTGTTCATGGTAGAGTACTGGAACTTGGTATGTACAAGACATATAAAATCAATCGCATAGTCATGAAGAAAAATTTGGCTTATTGGAAAAAGGGGCGTGGCACCTCCCATGCAAACCGAATATTTCACACTGCATATCTCTGGCCAAGTTAGAGTACTCTACCATGAACACTTCCAGAGATTTGCAGTATGAAAAAATCGGTTTGTATGGGAGGTGCCACGCCCCCTGAACCTAGCGGTATGAAATATACTTTACATCCGATTCTCATATCTACCAAATATACACAAAAAATTTCATAAAGATCGGTCCAGCCGTTTCCGAGGAGTTCGACCACTAACACCGTGACACGAGATTTTTATATATTAGATTTAGTTCTTGCAACAGAATTTTTCGAAAAAATTTGGCAGTAAATACAAGTGAAATAACGCTTAGTCGTCATAAAGATGCCTAAATAACGTAAAAAGTTTGAGTATTTAGGAGTGGCTTTTAACTATCAACTGATATCCAAATGCTAACCGGTTTAAGAATGAAAGAAAAACTTAAGCAGGGATCACACGATTTGTACATTTGTACATCTTGTAGGTCAGAAAGTGGTCTCGTTTAGAAATTTTTATCGAGAATGAGTTCAACTCAATAACAACTTTCCAAACAACGCCATTCTATAACTGTGAAAATATAAAAATCTGCGCAAATGTAGAAATCGATTGATCCCTGCTTTAGACCTTTTAAATGTTGTAAATGCCAACTTATAAAATTGAGGTAATCTGTGTGTATTTGCCAACTATGGCAATATTTTATAAAAGAATCGTACTAGTCCTGAATCGAGCAGAAAGGACGTTTAATAAGTAAAACGAATGTTTATTTTCAAAAATCGACTGAAAAGTGGTTGAGTTTCTCAACTTTTCACACTGTCGGCGGATGGTTCCGTGCACAGAAATCGACGCAAGTGGTCACAGCCATTGACCAAGGAGTGGCCAGAAGTAATTGTTTGAGATACGGTTCAAGCAGCTCACGACGTCCAGATATTTTTAACTATCTATCCTCTGGGTAGCGACCAAATACCCGTTAGGGAGCGAGCAAATGTGAGATGTCGAAAAACCACACGTACGCTGGATTTGCGTTCTCCTATTGAAAAGTCAAAAACAGCTTATGGCATAGAAGCGGGGACAATGAAAACATCCGATAAGGCGCCAGTTGGAGTATTCGAGAGAAAAATTATGCGCAAGATTTACGGGCATTTACGCATTGGCGACCCCGAGTACCGCAGACGATGGGACGATGAGCTGTACGAGCCTTACAACGACATGGACCTAGTGCAGCTAATTAAATTAGAGTGGCGTCGCTGGCTTGGCCGTTTCCTTCGAATGGACACCGACGCTCCAGCTCTGAAATTATTCAACTCAAAAAACCCGCTGGTAGTAGCAGAGGAAGAGGGAGGCCCGCTCCCACCGCAATGGAAAGGCCAAGTGGAGAAAGAGTTGACTTCACTTGGCATAGACAACTAGCGTGTTTGAAGACTTCGTAGCCGAGTATTGCCATACACCCTGGAGGACGAGCATCCAGCCACAATCCGTATCAAAGCGACTTTCTTCAAGATCTCGATTTCAAAGCCAAGGTGGGTAGTGAAGGGATCTTTGTTCACACTGTCGGAAAATTCTGTAGTAGGTTTAAGCATAAAAACATCCATGAAGCCACTTGGCTGTCTCCAGATCGAAAAACGAGAAACCAAAGCGATCATGTTGTCATAGACGGAAGACACGCTTCCGTTGTTTTAGATGTTCTCGATGCAGCCAAGATACGTACCCATTTCTGTGCACTAAAGAATGTGCGCCTAAAATGCAAGGAAAGATTAACGTCGAAAAGCTGCAATCACAACAGATGGCCAATGCATTCGCTACTCGACTCTCACACTTGTTCTCAGAGACCACTCTTCAACAAATCGACATACGCAAGCCGAATTTATGCAAGGTGGTGTTGTAAGATCAACTGATTTCTTCGCCTTACAGGTATTTTGTTTTTGCGTTAACTGATTTGACAGCACACCCATCAATGCAAAAACAAAATACATGTAAACTTTGGGGCGAATTGAGATTTGACATAGCACCCGTAATACAAGATACAGGTGGTTGGTGTTGTAATGTAAATTCGCCATCAAGACCACCTTGTATTAATTCGCCTTGGACATACGTGAGCAGTGGACACAAGTTTTCTAATCATTAAGTACTGCCGTCGAAGAAGTAGTCGGGTTCCAGCGACCTCGAAAGAACTACTGCTACGATAGGGAGTGTCAAGAAGTTGCAAAGAAAAAAGACGCCGTCCCACAGGGCCACGCTGCAATGCGAAACATGAGCTATGTGGGACGATTATAGGGAACTGAAGAGAGAAGCGAGACATATTTGCCGCAATAAGATGAGAGAGGCCGAAATACGTGAGTTAAGGCGGATTCAGCGTTTTTGTTCAGAACTTTTCTTCCGTGTGGTTGTTGTTGTGTGGGAGAGCAACTGAGAAAAGTTTGGAGCGCTTTTGGGTTGTTAACTTTACTTACTTACGTTACCTACTTTAGTTCAGAAGTAGAACGATTATTCCGCCATTGGGCGATTTACGGAAGGTTTCGACACCAGGGCGAACTCCTGTAAGAACAATCATGGTGACCTAGTGACCGAAGTCCAGAAAGTACTTAAATTATGGAGGGAACACTTTCCCACCCTACTGAATGGTAACAGCACTGAAAGTTGTTGAGAAGAAGAACCCGGTCTTTTAGTCGATGATGACGGAGTCGATGTCCCAACGTCGGACTATGACGGAGTACAAATAGCGATTGCGCGACTGAAAAACAACAAAGCTGCTGGAGCTGATGGCCGACAAGCTGAGCTATTCAAGTGTGGCGGCGAGGAACTGAAGGTGCGAGCATCAACTCTTATGCATAAACAAAATACTGACGAATGCCCGACGACTGGAATTTAAGTGTGCTCTGCTCATTCCACTAGAAAAACGACCCCGCCATATGCACCTCCTACCGCGGGCGAGGGAATTGTGTGAAAGACTGAAACCCACCGTCAACGAACTGATTAGGCCTTATCAGTGCGGCTTTAGACCTATAGAATCCACCATAGGAAAGGTATTCACCTTACGCCAAATATTGAAGAGGATTCGCAAGAATTGAATCCGCAAATACAATATATAAGTCGATTTCATAGCCTGTTTCAGTAGCACGATAAAATTGTCTCCATGTCGTGATGCCTGAATTTGGTATATTGTCTGTTTAAAATAGTGTTAAGCAATACCAACAGCTGTGATAGAGTTGGGAAGGGTATGAAAATGTCATCAACATCATCGATCAAAACAAGCCCTATGTCTGTTCTGCTTGCTCGGGATTAGATAGGGAAGAAAAGCGCGTGGGTTTGGTGGTGAATGAGGATAAAACGATGTACCTCCTAAATCAAAAAACGGTTAGTCTTGACAACAAGTGCTACTTTGGACTGAGTAGGCGATGGAGAGGTACAAAATCACACTTTTATAAGTCACTCGGTCACCGGCGGTGAACAATTTTTTTGAGCTTGAGGCCGTTTTTGCATGAAAATGGTGTGTAATAAATCTCAAATGAAGTGAATAATTTTAAATCCTATTCTATTTAATATAATAATATATAGGAATTAATAATATGAGCAATGCGGTATTTTCCAATACCATCCACATTGATTGAGTCGGAGCGAATATTTAGCAAGGCTGGGTTCATTATTTCCGAGTGAAGATGTGCGCTCAAGCCGAAAACCGATGATATGATTCTATTTATTAACAAAACTTTTTTGAGAGGCGATAATCGCCCGCAAAAGTTGACTTGCTGTCTACTTTGAGACAAGCGATTTTTGAGTCACCATTTACACGAGCGATTTTTCTGGAGCAATGTTGAATCGCCTAGAAAATCTTCTCTTGTAAATCCAGCTTTATTGGGTCGTCGAGCGATCTATTAAGAACTGCTTTAAAATTAATATCCACTTGAAGTTTTAAAAGACCAACCAATAAAATTAATTTCAGAAAAACGATCTAACTAAGAATGGTTTTAACAAAAATTGCATAATTACTGAAAATATACATTTTTCTTTTTTAGTTATTTAAAGTGCTCTTCAGGTTCTTAATATGAATATAAAGTGTACTAAATTTGTTATTCTTAATTCTATGAATTATATGTTAAAAATAGTGTAGCCAGTACTGGCTTGGATAAATCTGTGTGGTTTTCGATACTTTCGAGGATATATCGATGGTATCGACTATCGATAGTTTGACAGCTGTATTGGATAAGGGTGAGCAAATCCGATTTTTGGCAAAAAATGCCAGTTATGCGGTTTTGCACAACGACGATATGCTGTTTTGTACTTTAAACGACGACATGAGGAATGACAACGTGGATTTTTCGTCGGAGAAATTCACTCAATACACTTTTTATATAAACAATAGAGATTACGAGTATGCTCTTTGACTTCTACTCGAAGATGTTACGCTCTCTGCCTTTGTCTTGTGTAATTACATATTACTCACTTTTTTTCCTTAATTTTTATCAACATTAAACTTAACTTCATTACATGACTTGCCATGGAGAAAATCAACCGAATGTGCTCCAAGTGAAACGAGTTTCTTAGCATTGTTGTTTGCAATGGCGCTATTTCATTGGGGTTTTTGGAGCTTTGCTCGCAGAGCCACAAAGTGATCACCATTCAGTTGAGATCTGCTCGTCGATCGCATCGGTTGTTGGCTTTCAGTGGTACGCTTGTGGTACGCGCGTTGGAAATAAAATATATTTACTAACTATACACCCGCATTTGGTAGCAGTTAGTTGCATTCATCCTTTTATATTGGTTTAACTACCAACTTTGGCAGGTGTTTAACGCATTTGCATACAATTGAAGTTGCTGGTGGATTTTTAATTGAATGCAAGTACTTCGTAGTACCTGACAGGTAATTATGACGTGGTTATTAAGTCGTATATAAATATGTATGTATGCATATGTCGGATGTGCATGCGAGTTCGTATAACTATTGTTTGAATGTATGTGTATGGGGATTTGGAGCAAGAAATTTCTCTATCGCCGGTTGTGTTAATGGGGCGAAGGCCAAGGCATACTCATTACCAAGAAAACAACAGAACAATAAAAGAAAGAAACGAAAAAAGAGCATTCCTATAATTTTGTTGTACATACATTTATCACCAAATAAATCGCGTGATACTACAGGAACTAAAAATTGATAGCAAATGCATTATAAATTAAAAAGGAAACTAAAAATTAAATAATTATGAGAAAAACGGCGGAAATCGTACTCTAAATACGTGAGCAATGGTGCTAAATAGAGAGTGTAGGAGCGCTCAGAGAACATTACGAGCCCAAAGCAATGAATACCACTAACAGTGTTGCCAGAATTTTTTCAGCGATCAAGCTAAATGGACATAACTAGTTAAAAATAGCTAAATAAAAATTTTAAAGGCTAAAAAAAAGCTAAAAGTGTAAAGGCAGCTATTCCTATATTTTATTAAATAGTTTTTTTCACAAAAAAAAACAGCAAAATAGTTACATATGTATTTCTTACATCCAATAACAAATTAAAGGTTATTTGCATAATACAAAAGAGTAGGTACTTTCAATAAATAACTTTCTGATTAAAAAAACAGATTTTTGACAATTGCTCAATTGTAAAAAATTCTGGGCAGAGGCTGCTCTTTTGTGAAACTGCTTGAGCTTGTATTGTCTGCCTCGATAATACTCCGTTAGGGTGAGAGGGCATATCAGCTTTCTTGAAAAATCTATTGAATAGTAAATTTTAATTATTAAGTTCGATAATTTATAGCTTTATACATTTCCATATTTCTGCGGTTTCGCAAATATTCTACAATCTCGACGCCAACCGAAAACTTTGCCAAAAGTTTGTAAGTGATGAACATACATCCCTGCAAAAATCGCGACTACTCCATGCATGCATGTAAAGAGTACTCCCGAAGGACCAAGGAGTACTCCAAAATTAACCACAATTCATATAAAAAATATGGTCCAATTAACATTGCGATGTCCTAGGGCAGGACCATATACTCCATCTGTGCATTACATCAGAGTAGCACAAAACTACTCCCAACATACTCCAATGACATTATCGTTATATTTTTTCGTTTGTACACGCTTTTGTTCTTCACTTCGCAGATGCTTTTTTTGAAATTAATAAAAACCAGAAACAAAAATTAAAAATTACATGTTGCCTCTGACGACATTCGAACCCGAACATGCTGGGAGCTAAGAACTAACAGCTAGCATCTCTACACGTTCAGCTACAGCCAGACATGCAAATGTACTTTCAAATGCTTAACTTCAATCACATGTCGTTAAAACACGAGCAGTGATCGGGTAACAATAAGCTGGTGCAGAGACACGAGTTGGTCCGCTACAGCATGACAGAGGAGCACTTTTGTAAGTACTCCAATATACCACAAATAGACTACATGGTCCAACGATTTTTGCAGGGATAGCATTGCAATAATCGATTACTTGTCCCCTCAAACAGAGTTAAGGGCGCATACAGTATAGGAACCGTGTTTATTCGTAAAATATATTTTTTTAGATTTTCCTAACCTTAGAAAAAAGGTAGAAAAAGCTAAAAGATTTTCGGAAAAAGCCAAAAAAAAGCTAGCATCTAAATTAGAATTTTTCTAGCTAAACGGCGAAAAAACAGCTAAATCTAGGTGGAAAATAGCTTGAATGGCAACACTGATCACAAATATATATACAAACATACATACATATATAGAGTGAAATTTAGACAACACCAAAAAAACAGCACAAAAAACCCGATAGCGTCTAGAAAATTTAAACATATAATATACATATAAACATATAATATACTGTACATACAAATTTGTATATTTCTAAAACGTGGTCTAATCACTGAAATGAAGTAATACATATATAGCTGATAATTTCTTATGCCAGCGAGGCAAATTCTATTGGAAATCAGTTTTTCATTCTCAAAATCGCCTAACGGCAAACAAGGGAACAAAGTGGCATGCAAACGCCAATTCGTTGAGAGTCATGCTTAGATTTTCTGTTAAGGAAAGCAGCAAATGTCTGGAAATATAAACTAATACTAGGTTCACATATAAGTAGATTATCCTCATTTTTGAGCTTAACACCCTAATCTGTAATTATAACAAGAGATTAGCCATATAAAATTCGTCCCTTGTTAATCTGTAATTATAAAATAATCTCAGATTTAACCGATAACTTTTCGGTGTCCATCCTAGTTTTATCGATTGTTTTTGCGAAAGAGAGGAGAAATGCCAAATGTAAAAGTAAANTTCGCTAACTACAATGTTGCACTAGGGATGGAAAAGCCGCACGTAGGATCGATTTTTGATCTCGGAATCGGAGACGACTTTCTGGTATAAAAAATTCAAAATTTATCATACTAAACTTGGAGCTGTTATAAAATTATGTTTAATATTGAACGCTTCTTGCTGAATGCCGTTCACTTAGATATTGTATATTGCCATATTTTCAACATGCACGATAATACTAATAAATGAAATAATAACACTTCTGCAAGAGGATAGTCAAACTTAAAAATTAGCTACCAAACTTAACTTCAAATACTTAGTAAACAAAAGTCAAAAAGTTATCGAGTGGGAGTCGATTCTAGTCAACCGGAGGTGACTGAAGTCGATTCCAAAAAGTCAAGTTTTTTCAGCGAAAAGTCGATTTATGACTAAAGTCAGAGTCCAAAAAAACGCCTAGCATCAAATAACACCCCGTAACAAAATTTAAAAAACTCGCGTAACAGAATTTCACATAGCACATTTTCTGGGCCTTGTTGACTGTATACTCAAAATCCCAAATACAACCTCAAAATCTGGATTATAGTATTTTTCCATTTATTGAGTTGCTGAAAAGAGGATTTCCTTATATTTAATAACAGAAAATGACTGGACTATTGCCGCATCTTTAAAAACAAATACTGAAATTTTTTACTGAATTTTTTTATTTTAGTTGAATTTTAAAGTTGTTTTTCATATTAAAGCATGTTCACAGTATCGTAATCTATGGCTCATTTGTAATTTATAAGATTTTTCATTTATTATAACGCCTACTGTTGAGTAAATTTGAAAAAAAAAAAAAATACCTAAGTGTAGGCAACCATTTGTTTTTTGAAATCAAGTACAAAATGTGAACGTACTTGGTTTGTGTGAAGTAATTTTATCGAAACAAATAATTTATGCTGTAATGTGAACGTAATAGTACGCTGTTATGTGTTGTAAGATTTTAAAACTACACAAAACAGAGTACGAAAATATGTCTGAAATAAAGAAGTCTTTGAAAAATATTTGGCGAGCCTTCTGTAAACGCATATCTAGGTGCCATGATTCCTCCAGATTTAGACGCGTCCTGCTCCTTGGGGATTTATCAATAATCTGCTGCTGGCTCCAAGCAAAGCTAGTTGCATTGCGTAAGGGTGAACGGAAGGCGGTAGACGTGACTTTTATACCGGAGGCTGGCAAAATCTCTCACATATCCTCCAAGTATTTTAGGCCAATCAGTCTATCTTCGTTTCTGCTAAAAAAAAAACCTTGGAGGGGCTGAATAATCTGCATAATAGAAAAATTTTCCATACAAACATACAGCAAGGGTGGGTTTGTCGACACCAAGAGAAATGCAAACATAGGGGCCTCACACCGAGCTCGTTGCTTCGTTAGTAGGGAGTTTTTTCACAGTTTAACGTTATCAGCGAAACAAAAACAAAATATACCGGGGCAATTTTCAAAGCATAATATTTTTCGATAAGATACTTTATGAGACTCTTTCCCACTATTGGGGGCATTCCGCTTTCTGATAGAGTCAAGTACTTATGTTTTGGTTACAGATGGGCAGCTGTGCTGAAAGCCTGATTGGCAAAAGATGACGCCTCTCTGCTAAGGTTATTTCCTGGCTCCACGAAACTATGATTAAGCCCATAATACATATATTAACGAGACCTTGTCTAGTGCAATGCGCTAGAAAATAATACTCTGGTCAGAAAGCTGGAGCGGATAAAGCGCCCGTGGACATCAATCATGCGTAAAACTGAATTTACATGAGGCGATTTTCCAGGTGATTCAACATTGCTCTGGAAAAATAGTGATTAAGAAATCGCTTGCTTCAAAGTAGACAGCAAGTCAACTTTTGCATGCGATTATCGCCTGTCAAAAAATCGCCTCATGTAAAGGCAGCTTAAGGCTGCTGCAAATAAGTATTCGTTTTTCCATAAGCATATTAAATTACCTTTAGACTCAAATTTAGTCGGCAGCAAAGTAGTTCATATTTGTCGAGGCACCTATAGCTGGACAAAGAAAGCATTTCGTTTGTACATATTTTTTATCTGTAGGGGGAATATTTTTACCCACACTTACATAACTAAAACTAATATGATTACAAGCAAACTAAGAAAACTCATGCCTCTCAATTCTCTCACACTTCCGCCAGAATATTTATTCAAATGCTTTTTGTAATTGCTTGTAGGTACATATTCTTACCGGCTGATCCCGTTCTCAGCTCTTTGTTTACTTGGTGATCATTACGAGAAACGAAAAAATTAATAAAAGTGCGTCTATTTTCAGCAAGTGCTTAAGTACTTACATTTGTATGTACAGTTATTTATTTGCTTATTGAACAGATTTTTTTTTTAATTTTATGTTTTTATTTTTAATGATATGTATCTCATTGGCTTTCGAATGGATAAACTTAAATAATTTGCAAAATGTACATACATACATACATATATTAGGGTGGGCCACTCTCCATAGCACAAAATTTGGTACTGTTTTTTTATCGGAATTATAAAATCTATTATATTCTTATGGCCTTATTCATAAAAAATAAAGTAGGTTTAAAGAGCTTTATAAATTGGCGTGTTCATACATTTTTCAATTTATAAACCTTTTATAA